CCTCCCCCCAACCCCTTGTAAAATTCATCTATGTACATTTACAAAAGCAACTTATCGAGTTGCGAGAGTTCGATTGGAAAAACCGAATCGATTGCCGTCTCGTATGCACTCGATCTCGATCTCATGGTCTTTGGTCTCGCCAGATTATTTCCCAGAAGTGATAAAACAAATTGAAAATGACGGGAGAAAAGTTAAAAAAAATATAGCTAAATGAAACTTGAAGAAATTATGGAAGATATAAAAATCGGAGTGGAAAAAAAAAATTCTTTATATCCGTTTCGGTGAGAAAAAATTTTCTCATTCCCATGAAAAATTTCTTAATTACAAGATCCCGAGATCCTAATTATCTGTGACATGTCGAGTAAATGAGCTTGTGAGAAAAATATTATTTATGTCGTGTCATCGCTGCAAGTGGAATATTTTTTTGGTGAACATTTTAATTACTTGGGAGAATGTAATAAATTGTGGAACTGTCTTTTCGATTTTTTTATTGGAGCCATTTTGTTGCATTATCTGACCCAAAAAATATATCAACTCTCACCAGTGGTGCATTATCACCGGAAATCATGTGCGTCTCCATTAGCCGTCGCACGTCCGGAGTTATCATCGAATTTCCGTTGTTAATATTTTTTAAATAAAAAAAAAAGAACCGCACGTTATGTACGGGGGTAAAAAAAATTGTAATCGGAATATTTTGTCCAAATTTTCAATAAATTTCGGGAAAACTTTTCAGATAATGTTTTTTATAATTTAGATGGCGTATTTTTTGACAATATTGAAAAATTAAAAAAGTTAGAAAATAACAGTATAATTAAAAGAATAAATTATATTCGCAAAAATTTCTAGAAAATTATAAAAAAAAATTTTCGAAACAAATTTTTGAAACATTTTTCAAAACATTTCCCTAAAACAAAATTGTTTTGTTTCCCGATTTTTTGTTTCAAAAGAAAAATTTTCCGAAAAGTTTTCCAGAATTGTTTTGAAAATTTGAAAAAAATATTCCGATTACAATTTTTTTTTTATCCTGGCATAAAAAAAGTTAAAAGAATCTACAATGAAAATTCACGCGGAGTCGGTTCTCAAATGGTCATTAGAATTCTGCAATCAATTTCCTCTCATTTTACGAAAACACTCGCTTTTCAAATAATGATGTAGGGATCAATAAATGATCTATGAAAATTGATTCGAGATTTTCTTGGCAACTAGCACAGCTACAGGATTGTTCTTTTTTTCAATTGAAAAATCAACTCCCGACCTATCGAATGGAATCAATGGCGATCGGCAAGCGATCCAGTGATCAATGAATGATCCATGAAAATGGATTTAAGATTTTCTCGGCAACTAGCGCAGCTACAGCGTTGTTCTTTTTTTCAATTGAAAAATCAACTCCCGACCTATCGAATGGAATCAATGGCGATCGGCAGGCGATCCAGTGATCAATGAATGATCCATGAAAATGGATTTAAGATTTTCTCGGCAACTAGCGCAGCTACAGCGTTGTTCTTTTTTTCAATTGAAAAATCAACTCCCGACCTATCGAATGGAATCAATGGCGATCGGCAGGCGATCCAGTGATCAACGAATGATCCATGAAAATGGATTTAAGATTTTCTCGGCAACTAGCGCAGCTACAGCGTTTTTCTTTTTTTCAATTGAAAAATCAACTCCCGACCTATCGAATGGAATCAATGGCGATCGGCAAGCGATCCAGTGATCAATGAATGATCCCTAACAATTGATTTAACATTTTCTCCGTAACTAGTCGAGCTAGAGATTTTTTTTTTTTTTTAATCGAGAAAATTTTGATTCCTCGGAGCCCGAAATCCAGGACTGAGCGCTTGAGGATTCTTCGGGGTGGAAATTGTTTTTCAGTCGTCGGGGGGGTGTGGGCAAACAATTTAGCTGCTCGTATGGTGTAATGAAGCCAGTTGAATAGGGTTTTCAACACATGATGCCGTACGTGCGTGAAATATACGCATCAATAACGAGAAGGTAGAGTGCATGACGTGCTATAAACTCCCGAGGTATTATATTAAACCTATACCCAGTAATAATTGTGTACGCAGTTGTCGATAGTTAGATTTAACGTCATGGTCGTTCATGCGTCAATTTGCACTGAGGAAAACAATAAATCTCGGATTGAGCTGATAATTTAAACAATTTGATGAATGTTACTCTCGACCTTCAAGTCGTGGTTTTTTTTTTTATCGTTAGAATAAGACAAAAATTTTGAAAGCGTTTTTAGTATTTCTTTTCAGAATGATATTTTAATATAATAATAATTCTTTTATTTCAGTTTTTAATATTTATAGGGGCAACATGGGGGGTTCTTTTTACTTCCGACATTGTTTTTAGTGAATTTATAAAAAATCGAGGTTTTTTTTAATTTGATTTTTTTTTGTGAAATTTTTCAATTCATTCAGATTGATTTTCACCTGCCGATCTCGGCTGAATAAAAAATTCTCACCAATCCCAATTAAATAAACTCTCAACTCTGATTTATTTACTCTATTTAATTATCTCTCGTTACTATCGTTACCCAATTAAAGAGTTTATTATTTCCGGTGTGTGCACACGCGACACGAGAGTTGGAGATCCGTCGTAACCGGAAAATCCCGTCGAACAATTTAATTGGAGTCGTAAAAAATCACAATTAAAAGTCAATGATAAATCACCAAAAAATCGGCAAATGGGAATTATTGCGAAATAAATAGAAAAATAACGGAAGAAGAAGATTGTTATCCAGGAGATGATGAGGGGTAAAAAAAAATTGTCACTCGCGATTCGCCATTTTTCGCGGGTTGAACTCTTTCAGAAATCTTGTCAAGCCCTTTTCGCGGTTTAATCTCTGGCACTTTAGATTCAAAATTTTTCGCGGGAATGACGGGTCCGAGGTTCGCGAGCCGAAGTGAGTTACAATACTGTGCCATAAGGTCTGCACCACCTGAGGGACGTACTTCCAACGCGTGCCAATTCGCGCAAGCGCTCCAGAAATTGAGCGATCGCCAATGACAATTAATAGTTATCAACAACAATTCATTAATAAATCATCAAAAAAACCCCGGGAAAAATCCCCCACTCGCAGGACCGCGCAATGCCTACAACACTAAAAAAAAATCTTCCAGAAATTAAACCGTCGCCAATTGATTTTCAGAATTATAACGTTCATCCACAGACTGAGAAAATAAATAATCTTTCGGCAAAACTATTAAAAAAATATAAGAAAATATATTTGTCATTAGTGAATCTTATGGGAGTATTTATTCAGTGATTGGCAGATTTACACTTGTGGGACGAATAGTATATTGTGCATCAAGGGCGGAAAGTCATGTTTTCCCGCTCGAGGTGCACATGCTATTGTACAACATGCAAAAAGATCTTCGTGTTTTGGGAGTAAAGTGAATACTTTCCGCCCTAGGGTGAAAAGTTGCTCCCAAGGGCGGAAAGTCTTGCCTTCTATATTTGGCAAATGGAATTATTTTTCTCAGTGCATCAATTAATTTATGAATAAAAAAAAGATTCCCCAGTCTCCGGATGTATCACCGCGCATTCCGTACTTGATCGACAACGAATCGTCTAGAATCACGTGAATTTTCAATTTCGATTGTCCGATAAAAACGCGAATAATTACCCGAAGGTTATGTAATAATTTAGTTGGAGAACAGGTACTTGAACTACCGCCCCCTATTACCTAATCTTGGTAATTACCATGCGCCCCGAACTGACCGCAACAGGTCCTAGAAAAACAGGGGAATCCCCCGGGCAACGAAAATCGAATAGAAAAATCGAAAGAACAAAAAATCGTGTCAACAGCAATCCGTCATTTCCATAAAAAGCCGCAATATTTCCCGCATGAGTGTTTCGCGTTAATTGAAAAACTAAATTCTGCGGACAAAAAAGAGTCACAAACAAAAGTTTTGACAGACAAAAAAAAAGTGCCCCGAGCTATTCAGCTGTATTTAACTGATGAACAGTTCGCTTTCCGCATCATCAATTTTCTCGTATTCCCGAACAAAGGGGAATCCCCGTCATTTTGACTCCTACATTTATCCTGATTTTTTAATTCAAGGGTTTTTATTTGGCTTTAATAATGTATTCATGTAAATTTATGATACAAGTTAAGTTTTACTTGCGGTCGCAGCCCTCGGGCTTTTGCACAGAAATATCACGGACTTTGTGTTTTATTCGGACAGCGGAGGGTTGAATTGCGAAATAAATTGCGCGGAATTAGAACGAGTAATAAAAAAACGTTTTGAATCAATTCAGTTTGAATGATTGATTTGTTTTTTCAACAGGTGCACTAACAGGAGAATGTAATTACATTTTTAGGGTAGTTCCATAAGAAAAATTAGGTTCAATGATTGACTTGAAAATTTTTAATCAACAGTTATCAGGTATTCCGTTACTTTTGAGAGGATAATCTGAGTCTCCGAGTTTATTGGGATTTTATTGTCGGAGATTTCACGCGGACGAATCCACTTGCACCCCCGGGAATCCCCCATTTAATATTTTTTTTTCTTCATTTTGGCTCCCCCTCGGTACGACGCTTACATTACCGTCGGGTTTTATGATAATGGGGATAACATAACGAGGGGGTGAAGCATCGAGGGTGAAATACTGTTCGTTATGGAGTGCAATATAAGGTGAGGATTTCTCAGACTTGTGCGGAGAAGAAATTAAATCGTCCCATTTCGATATTGACGCGGAAAATTTTTTTTTTCCGTGATCGATGGTTGGGCTTATGAAGTATTTGTGCTATCGCAATAATTGTGAATTCCCTCCATTTTAATGTCTCTATTATTTTATGAATGTGATTGCAGCTGATATTTACGATTAAAATAGAAAACTCTCGCTCGGATTTACTGGCAACGCGGGAGATAAATATGGAAATGTTTTTATTCCGATGAATAAAATAGGAAAAGAGAAAACAATATTCGAGGTATGAATCATTGGTGGTCCCGAAGTGAAATCGCTTTCCCATTTGTATTATTCAAATGGCAGTTTCGAGCGTCACTCGGTGTTTATCAAACATTTCGCGGGTTTCAGTGCGGAATCATTCAGAGAAAATCCCGAGGATTACAGAATCGTATTCAACTGAATATTCCTCGGGCGGTGATTTTTACTTGTTCTCCTCAGGATTTTTTCGAAACTAATCACTCATTTTCTCTAAATCGCAAATTTGCAAATTTCGCTCGAAGGGGACGGGCAGGATTGGCTGGATAATGAGCCCATTGGGTGGGTCAGGAAATTTCCGACAAATTGAAAAAAAAAATATCTCTCTAGCTCCCATTGAACCCGAGTTACAGCGAAAAATTTAAAAGCTATTGAGCAGATGAATGATCTATAATGATCTATTATTTCATTTAGGATTTTCTCCCGATTTTCTCGGGCAAAATCGATCTTCTTTTCTCCGATTTATGGATAAATCTCATATCTATCGGATAGGAGAAACTCGACTTATGTTGTTCCATTCCTGCAGGAGTGATCTAGAGACCGATTAATGATCTACGGAAATTGATTTAGGATTTTCTCCGCAACGGTAGGAGCTACGGTCATCGTCTTTTTTTTAATTCGTAGGTAAATTTCCTGCTCTATCGAATGGCGTTAATAAATTTCACCAGAAGTGAGAGGGACCTGGGGATCAATGGACCATTTAGAAATTATCTGCATTACTTCTTCGAGCACCGTTTGAAATGAGTAATTTCGCATTTGAGAAAAGAACTTTCTAATGGGGTAATTTTCCACCCCTGGAATTGAATTGATCCTCCAAATTGAGAAATCGAACTTGTATTTTTCTAGAAGCTCAGCTAGAGTGCCACGATATTTACCCGTCGCAGTACCAATTCCAATACCCGGAAAAGTGTACAACCAAAAGTTTCAACTACGAATCCCAACGTGTACAAACTCAACAAGGCTCGCATGAATGTGGGAAGGGGAAAACCCTCACACATGTAGTTTCGATATAGAATTGAGCCAAAGCCGAGGCTATCGGGCGTCTCAGTGAGCGGACCCTGGAGGCCGGAGTTTATTAGCTCAACCCCTCGGTAGTGATGGGTTAGAGTGACCAAAGAACAATTTGTTCATTAAAAAAAAAATAACCCCGAATAAAAAAAAAATCAATTTCCCCAAATCCAAAGAAAAATCTCAAAGCTAAGAAAACTCATTCGTTCGACCCAGAAAAAGAATAAAACAAAAATAATAAAATATAAAAAAATATAAAAAAATATAAAAAATGACATAGTGATTATTGATAAATAATATTTCGTCAGATATTGCAAAAAAATGATAAAGAAAAAATTGCCTCCATTTTTGGAAGTTCTTTTTTGATTTCGAAAAATATTTTTTTCTGGAGTTTTTTCTCTGGGACGATTTGAGGTAAAAAAATGTATAGTTTCCAGGAAATAAATTTTTATCGCGGGTTGCTCACACCTATTACTGGAAACGTCCAGTCGCCCCCTCACAAGGATGCGTGATATACACGAAATATATATAGGGGCGCCTTATGCAGGCCAACACGCACGGGAATCGTGCCGCTACGAAAACCGCCATTATCTGTAATTCACCTCAGTATTCTGTATGTAAATAATTCTTTTCCACTCCCTCCCGATCAACAATTCCTCGGACACACCTCGGAATCAATTTCCAACCGCTTGATTCTCCAATCTCTCCATTGGCCTCACCAAAAACCCCAACCAATTCCATCCAATTTCCCCAAAGCGATTCCCTAAAAAATTTCTAAGAACTTCCAATTCAGAAAAAAAAATGACCCCCTCATTCCCGAAACCCGAGATTCAGAGAAAAAAAAACTCAAATGATCTAGCGATCGATGAAGGAGTTGAAAAAATTGCTCGAAGATTTTTTCACTAAAAACTGGGAGGAAATACACATTCCTAAATCGATGATGAATTACCGATCTATCGTTTGACGCCAACCACGAAAAGAAAAAAAATTTGCACGAAAATTTTTCCGCTCACCGCTGAATCGAGTGGAATTCAATTAATCTGCCCTTGATAATAGACATGTACCAAGCATAACAGTTATTCCTAATGTCCGTTTGCCCGCTAATTAACCCAGAGATGCAGAGCGATTTTATTGAAGGCACCCGCGCGCTGAAGACGCTAACGTTTAATCAAAGCCCGTTTAATTAACCAGTGCGCGCACAAATGCGACTGTGGATTCTCTTTGCTTTCGTATCAAAGTGCCTCTCACGTTGTAAAAGAGAGTTACTGAATGCCTGTGCGAGTAGCCAATCGGTAAAGAAGCTTTTTATCCTCGACCGTGAATTCACAAGTAAAAGGTGAAGAGAGAGAGAGATGGAGGAGAAAAAAAAAATTGAGGGGAGATGCTGCGGTCCAGCCCCACTTGGCAGTGTCAGCTGACTTGATTTATTGCCGTATCACCCTGCCACCCACACTTTTTCCCCCGCCACAGCAATTCATGGGTTTGGATGTCTTCATTCCCATCAATTCGTATTCTCCACGAGAGATAATTCATGACATCGTGCAAGAAAAACAAGTCGTAATGCGCGTTCGATCATAACGCCATTCGACAGATCGGGAAATTTACCATCGTATTAAAAAAAAAATCGTCCATTTTACTCCCATAGAACCGGAGTTACGGCGAAGAAAAAAAATTATCTACCAGTTGATGATCTATAATGATCTATGGGATAATTTAGGATTTTTGAGAGATCGACGGAGCAGAATGGAATCGCGTTTTTATAATTCCCATGAACAATGTTGGGATTATGTAACGGAATTGACTGTAATGATTTGTTCGAGAGGATCTAGGGATCAATCGATGATCGATAGAAGTGCAGTGAGGATTTTCTTGAGATCTCGTTGTCGGAAAGAGATAATTGTTTTTTTTCAATGGGGATAAAATTCCCTGGCCTATCGAATGGGATC